TACTTGAAATTACAATAGGTACTATTCTTAAAAAAAAATAGATATATTAAATTTAATATAAAATGAGTAAAAAAAATGTATATCAATATTATTTATTTAAAAGTTAATTTTTCTTTCTGCTAATAACATTAATATGAGTTCAAAAAAGTTAACCTCTTCAAAAAAAGAAAAAAATAATATATCTAATCTACTACAAAATCCTTTTACTATTGCTAAAAGTATTTATAAAAAGAGAATTGATATCTTAAATGCCTAACAAAGTGAAAGTTTAGTATCAAATAATTTGAATAATATAACTTTAGATTATGAAATTTTGGACAATATAATTTCAGATAATAATATTAGTTTAGATACTAATAATATGACTGATCTTGATATTAGCTTTCAAGATAATAATAAAGAAGAACAGAAACCAAAACATGCATATCTTACAAAAGATAATTGCAAGTGAAAATCCTACTTGGGAAATAACATATCCTTGGTTATATTTAGGTAAAAAGAAAGATAGGTCTGCTTTGTTTTGTAAGCTTTGTGAAACAGCATAATTTCATAACAATTTTGTTACTGGCTGTGAATATCTTAAAAAGCAATCAATTAAATGACATATAGAGACTAAAGATCATCAACAATTAATTAAAAAATGAGAAAAACTACAATTAAGTCTTGAAGTAAGTTTTACTCAGAATCTTAGAACCAACAAATCATCTATAATTCAAAGTTTAATTAATACATATTGGCTAGCTAAAAATGTTGTTGCAACATCTAAAATTACTGAGCTTACTTCTTTTATTGAATTTCATATTGAATATGATACTACAAAGTTATGTTCTTCTTATATACTTAATTATCCATTATTAGAATCATTAGAAATAAAATTTCATGCTGATTATGAAAGTTATTCTAATAATCATGCAGCTAAAGATTTTATTGATGCTATTGGAAGAGTTATTGAAGAAGTTATATGTCAAGAAATTTGAGAATCACCTGTTTGGAGTATTATGATCAATGAAAGTAATACAATTACTGCAAGCAAAAATCTTGCAATTATTTCTAAACATATTTCAAAAAATGTACCAGTTTATCATTATTTAGATATGATTAAGCTTACAGAAGAAACAGCTAATGCTATTGTTAAAGAATTAAATATTTTTATATATGCGAAAAATTTACCAATTAATCGTTTAATGAATATGAAAAGTGATAGAGAATCCATAATGTTAGGTAGTTATATTATATAGTTATCTATATAACTAATTCTTAAATTAAACTTGCAAAAAATTTTAAATGATTTTTGTAATTCTAAATTAAATATTTTAGTTTTGAATACTAAGAGTTTGAGTTAAAATCCTGAAATTTTAATTGACACTTTATGTGTTGCAATATTATTATATAAAATAATAATTCAGAATTTTAATTCAAACCTAAATACTAAAATTATTATATCATATTTTTAAAATAATTTATATTTTTTTATCTAATTTGTAAGGATGTAATAATGGTGTAGCTGCACAACTAAAGCAACAAAATCTTTATCTTATTGAGATTCACTGTATTTCTCATCGTTTAGCATTAGCGAATGAAGATACTGCAGCTAGTATTTCATATTTGAGTAATTATAATAACATAGTTAGAAATCTTTATAGTTATTTTAGCAAATCTTATATAAGAATAGCACATTTAAAAATGGTAGAAAAGAATTTAGAAAAACCTGAACTTCATTTATTAAAAATTATAACTACAAGATGGCTTTTATTATCTAATGTTGTTTCTAATCTTCATCGTATAATTAATTCTGTTATTTAAGCTCTTTATGAAGATTATGAAATATCAACAACTGCACATGCATTATATAATATTATAGATCAAAATTTTCTTCTTACAACATATTTTTTAGCTGATATTCTTAATGATCTTTGATGTTTAACACTTATTTTTCAATCAGATTATATATCATTACATAAGATTAAAATTCAACTTAATACAGTTATTTAAAAAATTACATCAGATTTTTTAGGAGCAAATGGATAAGAACCAACATAGAAAAATCATTTATATCAATTTTTAGAAAAAGAAAATATTATATCAAATCATATTCTATCTCATATACAGCAATTCACTCGAGCAACAATTAAAAATCTTCAAATATGTTTTTCTGATCATGAAATATTAAATGCATTTTATATTTTTGATTCATATAACTTGCTAGGATCAACATCATTAAATGAATATAGAGATAAAAAAATTACAACAATTGCAAAATTTTATAGAATAAGTAAAAATATTAAAGATAAATATTAATTAATTTAATAAATTTACACTTTTAATAATATTAAACTATATTTATAGAAATTTGTTATTTGCTATTTATTGAAGCTGATAATTTAATACAAGAATGGAAATATATTCGAATTTTGCTAATTAATTATTCTTGTTTAAAACCATATGAAGCTTGGCTTAAACTTTTTAATACTCCTAATTTTTTAATATTTTTCCTAATTCTTTAAAAATTGCTTCTATTTTTTTAACATTACCTCTTTCAAATGCATTTACTGAACGAATTTTTTTACAACAAAATTTAATTAAAACAAAAATTCATAATCGAATACATAATGATACTCTAAATTACCTTTTAATGATTAAAGTTAATGGTTCATCTGTTTATAAATTTAATTTTCAATACGCTTATGAGTTTTGAACTAGTACTTCTTATTATAAATCTTAGTTTTATATATTATTTTATATCTTTTTTATTTAAATTTTATATTTTATACTGTATTTGATTTATTATTTATATTAAAATTATAATAAATAACTATTTTAAAGTTTATTT